GGGGAAGGGGGGAGGTGAGCGCCCCCTGCAGGCAGAAGCAGGAGAGCCAAAAGCTGTGTGGATGGCAGCCCTTGTCCCTAGGCCTAGCCCCCCAGCCTGGCAAGCCATGCCTTGTCATCTCTAGGGGTGGGAGTGGGCACCTCCAGGCAGGGGCCAGGGGTACCAGTAAGGACAGCCAGCCTAAGCCTGGGCCATCCTAATTCCGGGCAGTCTTACTCTTCCACCATTCTGATGACTCTGTGGTCACCGATGTCAGGAGCTGGGAGTGAATGTGATATAATTCTTATACTTGTGGGAGAATTTCTAAATACATAATTTCACAAAGACATATCCTTAGATCATGTGCGCCAATTTTACTTTCAGAAAATGTGACCTTTTATTCATTCAACAAATATTTATTGAGTGTGCCTGTGGACCCTAGAGTGTAGTGGGCTCCTGCAAACAAGGGCACAGCCTGGGGAAAGAGACTCGCCCCGGCCTTCCCCCGGCCGGAGGTTTCTCGTCTGAGACGCACACCCTGGAGACTGCTGTGTCTACTTACTTCCCTCACATGCTTTTACCTTCTCAGCTTTGAGGGTTGGTTTTCTTTTCCCATAGATTCCCAGTAATGTTCTTCTGTCTCGGCTGAGGAAAAGGGAAAAGCATTTCATTCCCTGACCTAGGCCAGAGAGAATGATATATGAGTGTTCACTATCATAATTCTTTAAGCTTTCCTATACACTTGATCATATTCATAATAAAATATTGGGATGAAGAAATTGGAATGAAGCTGTATACATCTTCAGAGCTTGAGAAGTCCATACTGATACCAATAAAGTGAAATCAGTAGGATTGAAAAGCACCCTAGCAGAAGCCTGAGTACTTTTGTGAGAAGGGGTCATTCACTTGTCTGAGTGAGAGAGTGCGTGCGTGTGAGTGTGTGTACACGTGTCAGTGGGTGAGGCGTAGAAAACTGGGATTAGGGGAAGGGGAGGGAGGGCTTCAGTGAGTAAGTGCTCTTAGATTTTTCTGTGCCTCACCTCATTCCAAAAGGGATTTGTGGTAACTTGCAAAAATACCTAGAATTTCAACAAGATAAAAATAAACAAAGGATATAAATGAGCAGTAGTTTATACTCATAACGCATGTCATAAGGTTCTGAATACAAATTTTGAAAGAAGTGGGTGTAAAATGGCTGGGATGATAAGAGCAGATAGAATCCCAGGTTCCAGCTGCACTTGGTGGCTGATTTTCCTGGAGACCCAGGACAGCTGAGCCTCTTCCTTTCACTGCTGATTTTAATTGTGAAGAATAACCCAGAAAATAATCCAAGTAGTGAACTTGTAAGTCACCAACTCTGGCTGGTGACATGTCAGAGGCTCTACTCATGTCCTCGACTGTTCTACCTTGTGTGCAGCCACTGGGCCCCCAGCACCCCTTTCCCGTCCCCTCCTCCCAGTCTGTCTCCTGACCTCCCCCATACCCTCCCCCACCTCTGCTCCTGCCCTCCCTCCCCAGGCAGTGTTTCTCAGAGTTATTCTTTTAAAGCACAAGTGCAGTTGTCTCAGAGTACTTTGCTGTTTGGACATGATTCCTGAGCCTTCAGGGGCACCCGTGGGCCTGTCTTGTCTGTAAAACTCGATGTCTAAGTTCTACTTAGAATGCCCTTTAGAAAGGAGGGTGCTTGATTAGGATGTCAGGAAGTGTTTCTTATCCTCAGTTGGTAATGTGCTTTTTAGAAAAATGTTAAAAATACTAATTTCTATTCTTTCTTTGTTTTTCCTCTTCTCTCTTTCCTTTAACATTGTATTGTTCATAGTATATATTCTTCCAACTTCCACGCAGTAAAGAGGGAATCAGATGGGGCTCCTGGGGACCTGGCTAGCTTGGAGAACGAGAGGCAGATTTATAAAAGCGTCCTGGAAGGTGGAGACATCCCTCTCCAGGGCCTGAGTGGGCTCAAGCGACCATCCAGCTCGGCCTCCACTAAAGGTAACTGAGCATAGCCTGCAGGCCTCCCGGCCGTCCACACTGCTCTCAGGGTGTTGGCAGTGGGTGAACCTCCACCACGGAAATAAGGTTGCCTTGTTCAGATCCCTGTCCAGGTGTTTGAGTGCTCTGAGCCCCTCCCCTAGTTTCTCACCGGCCATTTTTCTTTCTGGTGTTAATAGTTTCCCTTCCTTTGAACCCCCATCCTTGCTCTCCCTGAAGCGTCTCTCTTTTTTCGTTCTGATTCCCTTTTCTTAGAAATTAGCTGAGCTTTAGCCCTTCCTAACTCTAGTAGGGTGGCCATTTTTCGTTGCATCTTTGCACCTGCTTTGCAGCACAGATTATTTTGCTTCCAGATATCAACTGGAAATTTAAAAAAAAAAGCCCTTATGACAAATGAGCATGTTACCTCTCCTTTTTTTTTTTTTTTAGCAGCTTTCAGCTTTAACCTAATGGGTCTGTTTATTTTATTCTGCATGCTTTCCAGTGGATCGTAAAGGTGGGAATGCTCACATGATTTCTTCATCTTCGGTTCATAGCCGAACGGTTAACACTAGCAATGCGTTAGGCCCTGTATGTAAGCACAAGAAACCCCTGTCGGCTGCGAAAGCCTGCATTTCAGAAATCCTTCCTTCCAAATTCAAACCCAGGCTCTCTGCTCCCAGCACTCTTTTGCAGGAACAGAAGAGCATACTCTTGCCATCAGAAAAGGCTCAGAGCTGTGAGAACCTTTGTGTTTCAGTTTCTTTGAATGATTCCAAAAGAAGTCTCCCCCTCCAAGTGGGGGGGAGCATCGAGAACCTGCTCATGCACTCCCGGCGGGATTATGACAGCAAGTCAAGCAGTACCATGAGCCTGCAGGAGTACAGCACCAGTGCCAGGAGGCCCTGCCCTCTCTCCAGAAAGGCTGGGTTGCAGTTTTCTATGTTCTACCGGGACATGCACCAGATCAACCGAGCTGGCCTCTTCCTGGGATCTGTCTCCTCCTCCAGTGTGCGGGATCTTGCCTCCCACTTTGAAAGGAGCAGCCTGGCATTGGCCAGGGGTGAGCTGGGCACCAGTCAGGAGAGTTCAGAGCACATCCCTAAGCACACTGTCTCCTCCCGCATCACAGCTTTTGAGCAGCTGATTCAGCGGTCCCGTTCCATGCCATCCCTGGACCTGTCCGGCCGGCTGAGCAAGTCCCCTACACCTATGTTGTCCCGGAGTGGCCTGACTTCGGCCCGCTCCGCCGAGTCCCTCCTGGAGTCAACCAAGCTCCGGCCCAGGGAGATGGACGGGATGAACCCCGGGGGCGTCTATGCCTCCCCAACAAGTAGCAATATGGTGGACCCCACCCTGGGCTTCAGGGGCCTCGTGCCTTCTGAGCCCCTCTCTGCCTGCTCCGATGAGCTCGACCGCTATTCAAACATCTCCAGTGACAGCAGAGAGGGCAGCAGTGGCAGTGTTCACGGAGACTTCCCCAGACACCGCCTCAACAAGTGTAAGGGCACCTGCCCGGCCTCGTACACCCGCTTCACCACCATCCGGAAGCACGAGCAGCAGCAGAGCTCCAGACAGCCTGAGTGGCGCCCGGACTCCAGAGGGGACAAGAGCATGCTCCTCAGGAACATCTACCTGATGAGCCCCCTCCCTTTTCGGTTGAAAAAGCCTCTCCAGCACTACCCCAGACAGCCTTCCCCTGGTGACTTCTCAGGACCCCGGGCGAGCCAGAAGCCAGACCTCCCCAGTCAGCCCCATCAGGACGAGCCCCTCTCTGGGGGAAAGCCCTCAGTTCCCAAACGCCTGTCCTCCCGACACACCATGGCCAGGCTCAGCCGGGTCTCAGAGGCCCCTCAGGAGAGACCCGCGGTCCCCGAGGCCTGCCCGAGAGCCTTTACTAACGGGAACTCTGTGCCGTACTCAGACCACGGCCTGGACAGGAACAACAACCCACAAAGTGCACTGGGAGCGTCCCTTGGAGGTGGCATTTTATGTATTTGCCGGTCTCACCTCACCCGTCTCTCCACTGTGCTTGCTTTGTCCCTCCTCCCGTGTGCCCTTGGTGCTCATTTTCTGGTCCGTCCTTTGTTTTCTGTTTGTTTTGCTTGGCAATTAATCATGGCTCGTAGTGGCTGCACTTCTTTAAAAACAAAGCCCTCATGTCATTTAGACTAACCACCAAACTCTGTTTCGAAAGAAAAATTGGCCGTTTAGCTCATCTGAGAAATTGGTTCATTTGAACTCCTGAACCCCTTGCCGTTGGCACCAATCCCGACTCACCTGTGGTTTTTTGAGAGGCAGCCTCTCTCGGTGGCCCTGTGTGTGTGTGAGTGTACGGTGTGTCCCCGTGAGATCCTGCACGCCTCTCACTAGGGACACTTTACAAAGAAGGTCCTCTCTCTTTGCTCACCTTTTGTCTTCTGATTAGTTTTCTTTGTATTAAACCAGTTCACAAATAAATCCAAAAAGTGGGAGGGGTGATCTGGGTTTTTTTTCCTTCAGAATTTGATTATTGGTCATTGGTCTCAACAATGGTGAAAACTTGATATTTATCATGGATTAAAGGTGAAATCTTTTCCTAATCTGGCTTCCCACTAAATCTTTGCCTATTTTAATTCTACTTTGTTGTTTTGAAGATTCAGAATCACCAAGACATTTTATACCAGCCGATTACTTGGAATCCACGGAAGAATTTATTCGAAGGCGTCATGATGATAAAGAGGTAAATGCCATCTTTAAAATCTCTTAGCTCTTGCACAGATTAAAAATATGAAGGAAGTGGGGCCGGCCTGGTGGCACAGTGGTTAAGTGCGCGTGCTCTGCTTTGGCGGCCCGGGGTTCACAGGTTCGGATCCCTGGATGCGCACTGACGCACTGCTTGTCAAGCCATGCTGTGGCGGCGTCCCATATAAAGTAGAGGAAGGTGGGCACGGATGTTAGCGCAGGGCCAATCTTCCTCAGCAAAAAAGAGGAGTGATTGGCATCGGATGTTAGCTCAGGCTAATCTTCCTCACACACACACACACACACACAAATGTATATATATATGACGGAAGAAAACATTCTAGACATCTGTCAGAGAGGTGATATGGCCTAGCAATTGGAAGCAAAGATTGGGGTTTTCACAAGTGACTTTTTATATGACATAGGCTCAGTCATTCCTCTTTTAGTCCGCTTTTCCAAAAAGTAGGACTGATTACCCCAAGGCACTAGGTTCTAAATGCCAAGTGCAGCCAGTGCTGCTGCACAGGAGGTTGCCCTCCACTGCGTTCAGTGCCTTGTAAGGGGAACCTTGAGTTTGCTTCACTCTTTCATCCCTCCCCTTAACCCCCGCCTTATTGTTCTCTAGGGAAATCCACCCACATATTTCTCCAATACTGCCCACCCCTCTGTTGGCACAAAGCACAGTTCATATTGGGAAGGATGCTGTAGGAGAAAGAGGAAACTGAAAAATAATGACCATGATACATTTTGTAAAACAATTTGGAGAAGTTGCCTTTAACTCAGAAGAAGAGGGATACCCCAATAAATGTTGGTAAATCCCAGCCAAGAACTTCGGGATGTGGACTTTTTTGTGTAGCTACTGAAATGTCTGTGCTGCATTGGTATGACTGATGGCTGGGAAAGGAGCCCATCCTCTTTGAGGTTTAGAAAGAGGTAGTTCTATATATCCCCTTAAATGGGCAAAATCACAAGTTTCTGTTGTGATAAAGTGTTGTTAAGAGGCCTGCTTTCTGGACTTTGCATTCCCAGGAGAAGGAGTCCTGTAGATTAAACAAACTCTGATGCCCATTTTCCTTTAATGACTTAAGAGATGGAAGAATTGCTTTGAACCGGGTGGCGGGAGGGGGAGGGTGCTCATGTGTACACAGCTCTGTCCCTTTCCCTGTAAAGTCTGAAGCCCTTTTTCTATGTTGTTCTGTTTTCTTGAGTGGTTTCCGAGTTTAGGTGGATTTTCCTTAAGGATTTAGGGCAAGGCTGACTATGAGGAGAGCTGGATTATATCATTGCTGCCAGATAGTGAGACAAAAGACAAAAGAGAGACCATAGCTCTCCCCCTCTCCAGGCATAATACAGACAGTATTCAGTAAGATGCTTGCACCCATCCGTGGGAAGAAACAGGAGGAAGCATTAGATATGGAGAATTATTTGTAATAACGAGGTGAAAAACTCACATACAATAGGTATTCATCAAGCCACAGAACAGATTCATTTCTAGTCACTGTCACCGAGATACAAGACTCCCACCTGTGGTAGCCTGGGCTGCTATGATGAAAGAAGAGGATATTCCATTTTGCTAGTTAAACCCTGTATCCAACATGGAAGGTTTTGTGATAGAGTTCTTGCCTACCACACCGGCGGCATATTTTACTTAGTTGGTTTAGCAATTGCTGTGTTAAAAGGTGCATACAGAAGGTGAGCAGCTTGTTTCCTAAATAACACTGGCTCACAGATGCTTAAAAATTTTGTGTCTTTGTCCATGGTTTTTGGCTTATGTGGTTAAACGATGAGAATGTGGATTTACCAAGGTCAGATTCAAGCACTGGGTTGGAGCTTTGCTCCATTTGCTGTCCACTTTCATTGATTTTATGTAACCTTGGCCAGAGCACCAGGGGTATGGCAGCCTCAAGCATCAGTCCGTTCCCATGGCCACAGAAACAACTCACACTTCCCAGCTAATAGAGTGGCAGTCCTGGCATTTTTCTATGCAAATGCTTTATTATTAAGATTGATGATATGGCATTTCAGAAAATGAGAACGTGTCAGTCCTAGAAGGGACATTAGTGGTCATCTAGCCAATCCTCTTGTTTTATGCAGGAAATGACCCCACCAGGGTAGTGGCTTGCCCGGGGCCACATAGCACATTAACTTATACCAGAAGCAGAGCTAGAAACCAGGGCTCTACAAAGCACTTTTTCGTGTCTTTTCTCATTTAGTCTTTACAACTTGCCTGAACACTGGAAATCCCACAGCCGTTTTATTATTTGTTGACCCTGGAGAAAAATAGAAAAATGGGCCCACCATCCTTTGGGGCTAGGTGTCACTTGAGTCATTCAGTTGCCTGCTAGAAGAAGACTAATGTTTTATTGACAATGCTAAGAATGATCAGTTCTAATTAATGCTTTCCTATAAAGAATGTTAATCCCAGGAACGTATGATTGGTATGGAATAAGAAAATACCTTAAAATTCTATTCTATGGGGTCATTTCTGTAGGCAATGAGGACATTTGGTAAAATGCAACATTACTTAATTATTTTAAAAGGCCTTTAAAAATAGAAATAGATGACTATTTCCTTAGTTTAGGAGAGGATATTTCTTCTAAACCCAAGTGCCATTATTCTTAGTTTATCTTCCCTATTTATATTCTACATCATTCCCTTAAGCTCAGTTTAATTTCACCTAATAAAGAAATTTCACCTAAGTAAAAAAGTACCTAAGAAAGTAACTGATGCTGTCTGCTAGTTACATAGCCTTTGGTGCATGTGCTAAGGCCTCCTAAAAATTGTACCCGGAAGAAGGATTGGGTGGCCTAGGAGAAGGGGTGCCATATTTTCAGAAATGGGCATCTCTACTCTTTCGAGCATGTTAGAGTAACAGACATAGGAAGCACAAAAATGACCTAGTTGCCATAGACCCCCACCTAGCCAAAGCCCATAGCAGGCCTGATTTGGGCAGGAGAAATCAGCCAGCCCTGGTCCCACCATGGGAATACACTGTGGGAACTCATCACTGACTCAGCCAGGTAAGGAAGCACTTCCAGCCCCACGTCACCAGCCCAGCATGCTTGTGAATGCTCTGGATGTACCCTGGGTCACCTGGCCTTTGCTGCCCGTGTATCAGGAGGCAGGAAGGAAGCTTTTGGCTGAGCCAGGGGATAGTTTGTAGACAGTGTAACTGTATAGAATTCATCCTTCCCGTGTCCCAGCGCTCCCCAGGTGGGTTTCTCCTGTGCAGTGCTGTCTCCTTCCTACACAGTGCGTGGGGGTGGGGGGGTTTTGGTTACAACAGGAACATAGTAGTTGTGACCATAAAGCCCCTCTGACATCTGACCTTAAAGTTTCCTCCCTATTGACCCAGCACCTTTTCCCGTAGTTGTTTTTGTTGGCAGTTTTCCAATACCCTGGACCAGATGATTCACTGCCCATTTTATGCAATTTCATGGCAGAAACTTTTAGCGGACCAGAGACGACTTAAACGAGAGCAAGAAGAAGCCGATATTGCAGCTCGACGCCACACGGGCGTCATTCCGACGCACCATCAGTTTATCACTAATGAGCGCTTTGGGGACCTCCTCAATATAGACGATACGGCAAAAAGGAAATCTGGGTCAGAGGTCTGTTTTGGTCGCCTCGATCTGCTGCTTGACCCAAAGCAATATTTGCCTCCCTTCAGCATTGCCCTCGGGAGGCCAGATTAGTTCTCCCAACAGCATCTGTCATCCTGGCTTCCTTAGGCTTGCTTTGGCTCTGCTGTGGCTGGTCAGTGGACATGACTCCCATTACGTCCTGTGCCCTGTATGTTCAAGCATGCCTGGCTGTGGGGCCTGGATCTGCTGGCGTACACCCCTAATGCATGCCTTAGAGCATTGGCTGCCTTCATGAGTCCAGTCCTCTACATCCTGCATTTTATCATGATACTGTGCTGCCTGTGCATTCTGCTTAGAAACCTAAACCTTAGACCATATGCATTAGTAGCTGTAGTGTGGGCAATTATAAGATTCTTCTTTGGAGAGATGGTTTAATGAAACTTATATTACAAAAGTTAGCTAGTGAGGCATTGTTTACACCATTTACACAGGCTCCAAAATTTAGCGAGATTAATATTGGAATACCAGAGAACAATACTGCTGCTTGGTATTCTACAATGAATTAATTGAATAAAATGTTCACTAGTTCTGAAGACTCACTGAAGAATTTTGAAACCCAAGGAATTTTGCAGTTAGGATGAGCCTATGGAGAGGAAGAGAGCACTCTGAGAGACATTTCAATTGTTTCCTTAATTTTGACATTTCTCAGCTGAGATTACAAAACTTGACCTTATGAAAGGAACGAAGATGCACAAACCTTTGAAGTGGTTTTATCCCGGCCTTGGCTCCTGCACTAAGGTCAACGTGTTCAAATTCTTGTGCTGGCCAGTGCTGCCTCTTGCGTCAGAGTTTGTTTTGCCACGTGACCCTAAGTAGCCCTGCTGAAGATTAGCTCCTTTTGGGGAAGTGTGTCTATCTGGGGCTGGGGGCGGGGTAGGGAAACAGGGGAGTGACGCCAAAGTATGTACAGTTTTATAATCTTTCAATATAATAGTAGGTTAATATTCGTGGTTCTATCTTTTGAGTGACGGGGCACCGCTGGCTACTCGTCAAATGGTTTGTTTTTTGTTTTGTTATTTTAAAGAAATAGAAGGTGTCTGTGACAAAGAGAAGAAAGAGAGAACCAGATTAAAAGCGGGAAAGCTGGGGAGGGGAAGGAGACTTGAAGGTGATGGAGAAAAAGAAAATGTGATAAGGAAGAGGCAGAAGTTAGCAAATGTTACTCAGATGCAAGGGATAGGCAGCCCTCAGCGTTCCAGCTCCTCAAAACTGCCCTGTCTGAAGGCTCTAGTCATGGATTATCCTCATTCACAGGCCAGCCTGCTTGTGAGTGATGGAGAAGACAGGAACATGCAAACGCCCCCCAGGGCTGCACACTCACACGTATAGACAATACATGCAAAAGAGTATGCCACTGGGGCAGAATACCCATGGGCAGAGGCAGGTACTGCCCAACCAGCTCCTCCTCCCTTCTAGAACAGTGATTTTCAACCTTGGGTGCATCAGAATCCCCTACGGGCCTGTTAAAATACTGATTGCTGGGCCCCATCCACAAAGTTTCTTGATTCTGGAGTGGGGCTTGAGAATTTGCAGTTCTGACCAGTTCCCAGGTGATGCTGATACCAGTTTAGGGACCACACTTTGAAAATCACTGCTCTAGATGTTGACTAACCGACGTGAGAAAACAGAGAGCCAACAAGTCCCAGGTGCTTTGGGCTGTGTAGACATATTTCAGTCCCATTCAGTAGCATTTGGGTGAGTACCAATTCTGTGCAAGACCCTATGGGGAGGCAGAAATAGGACTCAGACAGCCCTTGGGAAGCTGATAGTCTAGTGGAAGAGGCACCCTTATAATAATTATCTCTGTTGTAGTAAGTAACACAATGCTGTGGGAGGAAAAGATGGATGTGGCCTCAGGCAGATATAGAAAGATAAAGAGGGAGATGCTGTTTTGTATAACCAATGATGACTCACGTAATATATCTTAGGAGTTCAATGGTATCAGCCTTTCTCAACTTTGAGTAAGGCATGGATTCCCTTTAATGAAGAAAGAAAAAAAAGTCACCAGGGGCCAGCCCAGTGGCGCAAGTGGTTAAGTGTGTGGGCTCAGCTGCAGTGGCCCGGGGTTGCCCAGTTTGGATCCCCGGCACGCACCAGCTCACTGCTTGGCAAACCATGCTGTGGTGGCGTCCCATATTAAGTGGAGGAAGATGGGCACGGATGTTAGCCCAGGCCAGTCTTCCTCAGCAAAAAAACAAAATAAAAGAGGAAGATTGGCAGATGTTAGCACAGGGCTCATCTCACACACACAAAAAAAACCAACCACCAGTATTGACCTAAGCCAATTTATAAATTAAATAGTAAACCACACATATGCACTTTTATTAATTGATAGGAGATACCGTTTTGCCTGAACTCAATTACCACTCAAAATGTGAATCTGGTGCTGTTTTGGTATAAATTTTGTAAAATTCACGCAGTTCTACAGCTGTCTGTCATGGGGTGACAACCACTTTTTTGATTGGCATCACTGTGAAATTTTTGTCCTTTCAATTTTGGTCATTTGTCCTACAACTGTTAAATTATACTTTTTGGTCACACACAGACACAAATGCAGGCATTGAAATTGTGTGGCATTGATTATAAGATAGACATTCAGTTGACCTCTAATATGTATGTGTATAGATGGATGGAAACATCAACAGGAACATGCAAAAATAAAAAATTCTTGTGGAGAATTCATGGCCCTTAAGTTAGATCCCTACAAGACCCCAACTTGAGGAGCCTGGAAATATTGGGGTATCACTGAGGGATGAGAGTCTAAAACTAAGCTTGATGAAGATTTAAATACCATTTTTTTTTTTTATTGCCTAGAGTCTCCCATTTTTCCATTCCTTCTAATATTGAAGAGGAAGTGTGTAATTTAATTTCCATCATCTTGTTTATCTAGACCAGAAAGTGATAGCAGTTGAAGAGGTTGGAGCTGCTCATGGCTAGGGGCAGACTTATACTGGCAGCCATAAACAGCTTGCTCACATGATTTCTCCCCCCTACCTTTCATTAAAAAAAAAGTTAGTTAAAGTATCTACTTTTAATAATGGGGAAGAAAGATATGCAAATAAACATGGTAAGTCAAGGTGAACTTTTTGCTGGAATTGGAAATGAAGAAATTCCAGACAGAGAAGGAGGTCTAGACAAGGTATAGCAAATACAGGAAGAGTGTAATAAAAGATAAAGGCAGTTAGGTATGAGTGGGGAGAAATTACTCAAAGGCCTTAACCCACATCAGGAATTGAGATTTGTTCTGAGGGACAGTTGAGAGCCTTGGCTAACTTCAAAGCAAGGAAGTGATGTGGCAGAAGTATTTGAGGAATGTTATTTGTGCTCCTGAGTGACAGTAGATTAGAATGAAGAGTATGTGAAGTCAAAGGAAGCTTTGTGCCTGTAGAAACTAGAGGTCAGACCTGAGCAGGGTTGTGGAGGGATGGAGGGTGGGTTGGCGTGACCTAATGACAGACTTGATGAGGAAGTAGAGACTGGGGCTGAGGATGACTTCCAGGCCTGGGGGTCTGGAAGGAGAGGGCTGCCCAACAGGAATGGAAGCCCTAGAGAAAGAATGAGCTCAGAGATCGCTTTATCTGGCTTTTTGGATGATCTCACAGACCATGAGAGATACACAGAATTGAAGATGACGTGAGAGGTGAATCAGGCTTTCATCTACTTGCAGATCATAATTTAAGTTGGACAAATAGAAAATGTCCCCTGAAGAGTAAGATAGTGATAATTCCAAAACAGTAGACATTCCTTGTCTTAAGACTTCTGGCTGGCTGTTTTTTTGTTTGTTTTTAATAGCCACGGTCAGCTTTGGGGAACCAGCACTTCAGCTTTGGGGCTTTTCTAACTATCTCTTCCCCAAATCTGGTCATCTTTAGGGAGTTTCTCATGCATGACATAGCTGACCGAACATCCATCTAGTGCTCTGCTAAGGTCAGACAAGTAGTTTTTGCCCAGATTTCTACACCAGAACGAACTAGTTAGAGTGAATTTTTCTGCTTTGCTTTCTGGAAACTTGTCAAAATGTGTCCTTTATGTTGTACATGAATTGTGGTTGTAACTTGTCATTGTTTCTTGTATTTAGATGAGACCTGCCAGAGCCAAATTTGACTTTAAAGCTCAGACACTAAAGTAAGTGCCACCAGTCATATTTATTTGTCATTTTAACTGCCTCTTTGAAACATAGAAGTTCCCTTTTAGAGAAGAGTTGGAGAAATATTGATAAAAACAGTAGTTGATAGAGTTTACTACCTGCCAAGCACTGTTCAAAGTATTTTACATATGTTACAAAGTACTTTATGTTACAGTGTTACATAGGTTACACTGTAATCCTCTGAGGTCTGTTCTAGTATTATCCCCTTTGTACAGTGGGGAAACTGAGGGACTGCAAGGTTAAGGTCAGTGATGGAGTTGGGATTCAAACCCAGGCAGCTTGGTGCCAGAGCCTGGGCTCTTTCCGCTGTGCCACCCTGCCTCCTCCTATAAAGGGACTCAGTTTGCTTGATTAAGTGGTGGCTCGATCTGACCCACCCTTTCTGTGGAAGGAACCTGAACCAGCCTCTAGGAAGACATCTTTAGCAGTTTGCTGTAATATCCTGAGAGATTAAAGGCTTGTGGGAACCCACAGGAGACCAGCATTTCTCTAAGTATGTTTCTGAGAGTACTAGCTCCGTAAAACATTTCTCTGTGCGAGTGTTTCACCATAGAAATAAGTTTGGGAACCACTGCACACTATGTCTACACCTCCCTCACCCCTTGAAGACATACTTGGCTGTTGCCATTCTAATGGCTCTAGAAATCTTTCAATGAAGAAACCTAATCTGATTAGCTTATTTAACCCTGTATTATCTAAATTTAGATGACCAGGAAACATTTATGTTTTCCATGGAATGAACTTTGGAAAACACTCTCCAAGACTGGGTTCCAAAAGGAACCTGTTCACTTCATATCTAATTATGGATTCAAATGGGCAGTGAGTTTTCATTGCCAGCTATGACCAGCAGCCGTCCTGTTATCTGGCTGATGGGAGGCCCCATGTCTGGTGGTGAGAAGGGGAACTCCCCATCCTTGGACGCTGGGAAAATGCTGTGTGGAGGCTGCTCAGCCATGACGCTGATCTCCTCCAACACAAAATGAGTGACCAGGCCATGGTTTCCAGAACTAGGTACAAATCTGGTGCACTTGGCTTTGTCTGTAATTACTCCAGTCCTTTAGTTCATCAGCTGACAAGAGGTGGCAGCATAATGTGCTGGAAAGATTATGGGTTTTAGAGCCCTGACTATGCCACTTACTGTCTCTGTGACTGTGGGCAAGTCACCAACCTCTCCCACCTCCAATTTCCTCATCTGTAAGATGGGCATAAAAATGCCTCTCTTGCAGGGCATGGAGATAATACTTGTAAAACATTTTGCACCATGTAGCGGAAGTCAGCACTTTCCCTTTTTATTTTAACCAGAGAGAGAATAACAGATATATAAATTTTTAGTTTAATCAAGTAGACATAGAGACCTTTTTCCCATTTTCTTTGAACTGAGAAAGCTCCATGTAATATTCATTGGATGGTATTGTGATGATAATATTACATTACCTAGATTTCATTTAAAAAAATCTTAAAAACAGTTTTTTCTTTAGAGCAGCCCTGTCAAATATAACAGGTGAGAAAGCTGAGATAGAGAGAACTTGTCGCTATTTATCAGCGTTGCTCATGCTGAAGAGAGAGTTCCTTCTTTCTGACTCAGTGATTTCATTAGACCATGCTGCCTCCAAAAGCAGTTAGTGAAACTTTTTAAAAAGAGTAAATGAGAGATCCATAGACTTGAGTCTTTTAAACATCTTCAGTCACTGGGTTCTATTTTTCCCCAGAGTATGTTACTCAAGAAAGCGTTCCGTGGGAACACAGGATTCAACACAGTTAAACAAGTTTCTGTCCCACAGGACTCCTCTGAGCCTCTACTGTGCCAATGTACATGGTGACACTCCAGAAAAGATCTAAAGTGTATCTTGTTATCGTTTCTCAAACCTTGTAACCACCAGACTTTGTCATGTATATCTTTGGGAAACAGGGGTGTGGTCCAGAGTGCAGGAAGGATGGCAGGCCCCAGCACCCCGTGGTACATCTCCTTTTGCTGTGACTACAGACCTCTCCTCATTCTCACACGAGCTGTCCTTTTTTCTTACCAGTGGGCCCTTACCACCCTCTCTCTACAGCTGCAAGTCACTGAGGCTCGCAGAGTTTGGAGCCTGCAGATCTCCAGCAGGGATGGATATGCTGAGGGTCTTGCACATCCATGTGTCCGTGGTTGGGGGTAAAAGGAGAGAACACCCCCAAGGAGGGCTATGGCAAAAATTTGGCCAAAGACATTCCTTCCTACAGAGACGAATGCCCAGAACCCCTTCATGGGCCTCTTTAGGATTAGAATCCTGTCTACCAATGTGAGACCCACAAAGGCTGCCTTGTTCTGTCCAACACAGTGCTGACTTTGTGTAGTTTTCCACATGTGCCCCCATTGTTTAGCCAGCATCTCTCACATACCGTGGGACTTCCTGGCACACTGCAAAGCAGGCATACCCCTCCAAATTGCAGTCAGAGACCTTTATTTCCATGCTATTGATTTGACTCAAATGGAAAAGATCTAGGTCATTTTTTTTTAATTCAAGAAAATTTCAAGTTACAATTTTTGTTCTCCTTTTAAGTTTTCATTTTGTTTATAATGTATCTTTATGTCTTTCTTTTTTTTAATAAAAAGTGCTGGTTAGAGGTTAACACCATTATTATTGAGGCAAACAAAGGCATGGATATGGAAATGTTGAAAAAAAGGCATGAAGAGCATTTGAAGGAATATCCACTTTTCTTTCCAAGATCTCTTTTCCATGTTGTAAAGGAAGTGAATTAACATTTACTGAGTGTTAACTATATAACTGGCACCATCTAGGTGTTTTACTTGTAGTCTGTTGCAGAATTCTCCAACAACCCTGAATTAGCTCCTATTTTGATCAAGTATCTCAGAGATAAGAATCTTGCCCAAAGGCCCAGAGCTAGTAAATGGTATAACTGGGTTTGAACCCAGATCAGCCTAATTTCAGAGCCTTTCTACTGCATGATGATAGATGGATAGATGGTGAGGTATCTGGGTAGATGGATGGCTAAATGGATGGAATGATAGGAGGAAATCAATATAGCACAAATAATTTGAGGGTAATTTAAAGCTATGAAGGAATTCCTTGCCATGGCATTGAAGAGGGCAGTGAAGGTAGTGAAAGTATTTAGAAGGAAACATTTTTCATCATTTAATGAACATCACTTAAGACTGCTGGGTGCACTGCTATACATTGCATAAATATTCTGAGCATAAGACGGTGTTCACAAAAGATACATTGAGCAAACCACAACAAACTAATAAGGCCTCTGAGCACTTTCGAGTGCTCGTCAGTTTGAAAGTTAACATCCATTCCACAAGAGACAGGAAAAATGCCAAATGTGATGTAATTTCCTGAATAGTGAGGTTCTCACTTCCAAATATGGAGCCCTCTCTTCTGTCATTTGTGCCCTTTGACCTCACTCGAAATCTCCTTTTGCTAAAAAACTGAGTATCTTCATGTTACACATATTGAAACATCTGCTAAAATGCCATGACCCTCTGTTGACAGGGAGCTTCCTCTGCAGAAGGGAGACATCGTTTACATTTACAGGCAGATTGATCAGAACTGGTACGAAGGCGAGCACCACGGCCGGGTGGGCATCTTCCCACGCACCTACATCGAGGTACCGCAGCTCCTTTCTTTCTAAGGAAAAGCCTGGTTGTGCCCAAGGCACCATTTATTTACTGAAAACTTGTGTTTTGTTTCCTCATTTCCTCCCATTTCCCCATTTTCTTCTTTTCTTTCTCTTTTTCCTCTTTTCCTTTCCCAGCTGCTTCCTCCTGCTGAGAAGGCTCAGCCCAAAAAGTTAACACCAGTGCAGGTTTTGGAATATGGAGAAGCTATTGCTAAGTTTAACTTTAATGGTGACACACAAGTAGAAATGTCCTTCAGGAAGGTAAGCTGCCCTCTCATCCCATGCTGTGGGGCTTTGTTGGATGCTGTTATTGTGGGGTGTCGCCTTGCAGTGGCCTGCCAGTCGGTGCGCCTGAGAGATGTGCCCGATCAAGGATTCCACTGAAGGCAGTTGGAGAATTTTCTGAGGTGAGGTATTTGAAAGTAAACCCTAGGCTTGTCAGGATTTAACTACATTGAGTTCACCAACTAAAGGCAGTGTTTCTGGAATCTTAGTCGTCTTTAACAAGCTGTATTAAACCCACATTTATTGAGCACCTAATGATGTGGTAAGTACCGTGTTGGCGACTGGGTTTTACAACACATCAGTGTGGCCTAGTGGAGAAAAGCAAGTGCTTTGACACCAGGAGAAGTTTGAAAAACTTTGAAGTCAAAAGCCACAGGTTATTAGCTGTGCGGCTTTTGGGGAGTTAAATAATTTTCTGAGCCCCATTTCCTGATATTAAAAAAAATGAAGATAAATGGCTCTCATGGAGCTGTTGTAAGAGGATGAAATGCAACACCATATGTGCAGCCCCCAGCATGACCTATGGATCTAGTCACTGCTCAGTAAACAGGAGATGCCGGTATCATCGTCATCATCATTGCCTTCGAGGAGCTCCGCATGCTTATTTTGAACACAATGAAGCTGTGCAGAGACTCCGTTCTCCCTAGGAATTTAAACACTCTCTTTACATGTCAAAATTCTCTGGCTTGCTAAAGTTACTAAAGTGACTGATTTTATTCAGGATTGAGAGAAATGAGCACATGCCTTGGAAAAAGATGAGCCACCTCATAGAAAAGAGATACATTGGAAGCAACCTAATTGCCCAGCATCGGGAGACTAGTAATTAAATCATTATATGTATGTACAATAGAACACCCTGCAGTGGTTCATTAAGCTGTGCAACGCCATTAAAAATGTAGAATTATATTTCTTGATAAATAAGGAGGCTCACTGTATGTTATTAAATATAAAAAAGCAAGTTGGAAAAGGGAAATACAATGCATACTCAATTTTTATAAGAAAAAAATATGTGCAAGTCTAATTCACGTGTATAGAATTAAATCTAGGAAGTACACATATCAAAATATTAACAGTAGTTACCCCCACATAATAATACTATGGGTAATGATTATTTTCTGCTTTATGTTCACTTGTTTTTTAATTTTTCTATAACGATACAGGAAAAAATAGTTATTAAAAGGAAGAAAAAAGATAACCCCCCAAAACCTTTGCCTTAGGGAAAATGGATATCTGTCTATTTTGCATTAAATGAGTCAAAAACACTACATTTGCCTGTAGCTTGGGGGAATGAATCTGACCTTCTCCTTTACTGAAATATTTAGAGACCAAGCTTAACTTCCCAGGATCCAGGTGGCTCTACTGCTGTTAGCATCTCCATCCCAGTGATATTAATTCCATTCAGGTCTAACAAGGAAGGTCTTTCTGAGCAAAGAATGTGATAAATAATGCAGGACAGCACAGGGTGCAGGCAGGGGCCTCAGACATGCTGAGGTATGGTGGGACAAGGAACCTTGCCTTGCTATGTGTTACAGGGTGAGAGGATCACGCTGCTTCGACAGGTGGATGAGAACTGGTACGAAGGGAGGATCCCAGGGACGTCCCGACAAGGCATCTTCCCCATCACTTATGTGGATGTGATCAAAAGGCCACTGGTGAAAAACCCCGTGGATTACATCGACCTGCCTTTCTCCTCCTCCCCAAGTCGTAGTGCCACCGCAAGCCCACAGGTACCTAAGCTTCTCATCACTGGTTTTCGTACTCAGCATGACAAACCCTCAATGCTATTGGCAAACAGCCCCTCTGGGGTGGTTCTTCAGTACTGTGACTAGGAACCGTCCTGAGCAATGCAGAGTATACCCACTGGGGTTTTCGTGCATACAGATGGCATTTTTCAAGCACTTGGTGGGAGAAATATTATCGCAAGGGAAAAGGAAGCGCTTAAGATGATTGCTCTTGGGAGAAGATGACTGGGGAAAGAGAAATAAGAGCCTTTATCCATTGGTCCAAAACTCTGCACTGGGAGCATCCCATCCTGGGTGAAGCTGGTTGTCTGGGTACCACCACTGTACCATACATACCGTGGCCCAGTATGGTTCTCTTAGTCATCTTGTTGGTAGGTTGGCCTGCAGAAGATAAAGATCCAGAGTATTCTTTGCAAGCCGAAACCAGATTAGAAAAGGAACTTATCTACACTGGGCTGAAAGGAAGTAGGTTTATAATAAGGTGTTTGCTTTCCTGAACATTAATTTTGAAGAAACTTGTTTTAAAATATAAATTACTCCAAACCCATCCCCACTTTCCCAAAGCCAAGAAAAAATTAGGACCTTGGGCTCAGGAGAGGCATGGTGGGCTGACTTCCTGTGAAGAGACTAACCATACTGCCATTGTAAGTTGTAGGGAGGATGGCCAGAGATAGGAGAGCAGGACCTGGGGACCTGGGATGACACTTGGATAGTGCCTCTTTCCTCTCATCCTCTAATCATTTCCTCCTCTTCCACCTGCCCATCGCTGACTAAGGAGGGCATTCTGCTTTGTAATAATATGGGGAACTCCACTATATTTTTTGCTTGACCACAGGCAAGCATGGCTATAAAACAAAGTGACTACACTGCTCATACTCCTCTCTGGAAGGCTCTTTGCTGAGCCCCCTAGAGAGAATAAAAGCCCAAGGAAAGGCCAGGGCAGTGGCAGGCCACGTTTTTCTCTCTTGGTTCTGGGCTTCATTTGCAGAGGTGGTTGGGTGGGGCGGGTGGGAGCTTCCAGTGTCCCTTTGAAAGTCTGATTCTGCAAACCAGGCCAGCACTGTGTGGACCTGCCCTGATGGGACCCTCTCGCCCATCTCCAAACCACTTGCTTCCCCCATCCTCCCCTGCCTGCACACACGCACATCCCAGTTTCTCTCCAGACCTAACCAGACGACTTCCTCTTTGGACACCAGAGTGTCCACTCGCCCTCTCTGTTTCATTCCTCTCTGTTGTCCCTTGTGATTATTTTCCTCTTTCTTCTTTATGCTGACGCCTGTACTTTTTGCTTCTTTCTCTTGTTTTCCTCTCTCTCCTTTTCTTTTCAAGTTTCCCAGTCACAGCAAGCTCATCATGCCACCCTCCTCATCTCTTCCCCACCCCCACCGAACCCTGTCCCCTGAGATGCACGCCGTCACCTCTGAGTGGATCTCACTGACTGTAGGGGTTCCGAGTAGGCGTCCTCTGGCCCTGACCCCACCCTTGCCTCCTCTGCCAGAGGCTTCTATCTATGACACTGACCACCTCGCCTTGAAGACGAGGCCCAGTCCCTCCCTGTCCTTCAGCCTCCCCCATTTGAGTTGGTCAGATCGTTCCACCCCACGTTCAAGAGCTTCCCTACTGGCCCTACCTGCCCCCCACAAAGCCTACTCCCTAGCACCTGGTGCCCAGGCCTCCCTTCACATTAATGGAGACAGTGGTATCCATATGCCATCTTCAGGTGTCTGCCAGGACAGCTTCTCCCAGCCGCTGCTTGGGAGCTCTGATAGGGTCATCTCAGAGCTTAGCGATGCCTTTAGCAGCCAGGGTAAGCAGCAGCCATGGCGAGAAGAGAGCGGACGGTATGAGAGGAAAGCAGAGAGGGAGGCAGATGAGAGATGGCCTGGTGGACCCAAGATCTCTAAGAAGAGCTGCTTGAAACCTTCAGACGTGGTCAGGTGCCTGAGCACTGAACAGAGACTCTCAGATCTCCACACCCCAGAGGAGAGCCGGCCCAGCAAGCCCCTGGGTAGCCCTTTTCCGGGAAGGGAGGCTGAGCAGACAGAGCTGCATAGAGGTGGCGAGCAGGCTGAGAGGAAGGCTGCTTGGAGTGGTGTGAGCCAGGTAGGCCTGCAGCATGACTGTGTGTGCCTTGGCGTCTCAGTTGGCAGGGTGGGCCGGACATCTCACTCATGGTCCATCTATCGAGACCGAGTAGATGCCGGTGAGACCCGTTTGCTTGCCTTGGGAGGAAAAATATTACCCAGGAGGGAATGGAGGGGTCATTGATTAAAGTGTCAGGGCTGGGGACAGTTGGAGGCAAAGGAAAGTCTGTATTCTGGCCTCTTGAGGTGATTCAGAAATTACCTCCACTTTGGTGCCTCCCGGCTTGGTGGAAAAGCCCATGAGAAGGAAGGCCTTCCTCACGTCCCATTCATGCCTTGGAGATCATCCTCGGTTTGCTCTGACTAACACAGCTAAGAACACCAGGCTTCGGTTTGCTCAGTGTGGTTTGGTTTCATGTGAGATGCACTTTGTTTCCATAACCCGTGGCGCTCTGCCTGTGTTCAGCTCCGTGAGGTCTTCGTCCTGTCTCGTGTTTGTGTGGCAACGCGGAGCCTTTGTTCACTGATGAACAGATGCATTTTGGTTCTGGGGAGGGGCATGCAGGCCCAGCACTGGGGCGCTGACAGGTATGGAGTCCTTGAGTAGGCATGCCATGTTTTTAGGTTACTGTCCCATTTTCTTTCTGGGTCAGCTGGAAAGATTTCAGGGTTTGGACCAAGGTGGCCTTAGGGTATTTTGAGGGCTGAAAAATTTGGTGGGGAGATGAACTTGGCAATTAGGTCATGATTCTAGTTTTGGCTAGGCTGTTGAACACCCCAAAAGTCAAAGACTTTGGGCAGCTTCTCCAAAGTAGCCAGGTTTAAATGCCTGCTCACCTCTTACTCTCTAGTGACTTGGGAGTTACTTCCCTTCTCTGAGCCTCAGTCTTCTCATCTGTAAAATGGAGGTGACACCTACCTCCTAGAGTGGTTGAGAGGATTCCATGAAGTAAGGGATGTGAAGTGCTAAGCACGGGGGCTGGGAACAGAACATGGTCAGCACTTTATAAATGGAAGCTATCCAATTTGAGTGATCTAGAACTGCTTCTGGAACTGAGAACATTCTAGAATGTCTTGAGAACCAGATGGCATTCTTAAAGATGTTTCCAAACCATTTATTGTCTACTGTGTACTATGCCCACAGAGCCTATGCTTGATCCATGGACCTACAATCCCAGTTTCCCTTTAAAGCTTTATTTATTCATTCAACAAATATTTATGCGAGGCCTGTAGACACCAGCCTCTGAGCAGGGTACAGAGGGCATCACATCCCTGCCCTTGTGGAGCCTATGTTCCAGTGAGACTGGCAGACACAGCGATGTCATGACCTCAGTAACAGAGGTATGCTTGGAGTCACCAGGAGCACAGAGGCCTGGAACACGGATGAGGCCAGACCTCTAGCTCTAGCCTAATGGTTGGGAGTTGGGGATCATATAAATAATCAGGCTTTGCCTCTCACTAGCAAGCCACTTAACCCCCTTGAGCCACGGTTTTCTCATGTGCAAAGTAGGAGTGATGGTAGTCCCTCCCTCATAAGAGAGTTGTAAGGATTAAATGAGGTAAGTGTGGTGCCTGGCATGTGGGAAGGCTCCATAAAGTAGATTGTTGCTCTAGCTCTGAGTGTGGGGCCGAGGGAAAATAGCAGTACCTGGAGAAGGCTTTGCCTGGCCCCAGAGTAGGTGCTCCTGGAATATGTGTTCTATGAGGAAGAAAGGGTGTGTCTAGTTAAGGAAAGAATAGTTCATTGGGGAGAGGTGGTGAAGTGGCTAGTTGAAAAGAATGAAATGTCTGTAACACAGGAATAATTCTGTAAACGTTCCAAGTCAGCCCACGGCGCCTGGAGACCTTGTTATTGTCAGCGCTGAGTCATGAGGCCCGATTCCAGGACCCAGTGTGTACAGGAAGAGTGCATGGTGCCAGAGCTCTGAGTAAGGTCAGGTATACACTTCCCGCTTCCTAATGGAGGATACGAGGGGAGGAGCTGGCAACATGGAAAGCCGGGCTTGTTGAGAGTTGGTTTTCCTTCCTTGGTGGGCCTCCAGACCCGAAGTGTACCACTTCCTTTCGCCTCCCTTCCTCCTGCCCTTCCAGCACAAGACCCTTCTCCACGGGCGTGCCCAGGCCTTGGGCACTGGCCTTGCTCCTCGTTGAGAGCTAGAGGCTTGTATGAAAAGGGCTCCTGCCCACACACCTCCCGCCCAACCCCTTCATTTTCCCCTCCTGTGCCTGGAAGCAGGATCTGGCAACTCGGGAAGTGGGGTCCTTCAAAAGAAGCTTCCTGCCTCTTGAGGCCCTCTTTGGGTGACAAAGCTAAAGATGGGAGGGACTTAAATGACAGCTGTTCTCTAGTCGGGATAATGTGACCTCAGGCTGTGTTACTTATTTGGATAAATGCATTTCAGACCAGTTTGCGTTATCAGGAAAATTGCCAGGCACTGTTCTCCTTCTTGTGGAGATCTGAACCAAAAGTTCAATTTCATTATAGTTGTTGGGAAGCTAGCTTGTGTCTCTGACCGGTCAATAGAGGGAATTTAACCTGAGAGCCTTAAATGAAAAGACATTCTGAAATGTTATGATCATTTACTCTTTCATTCAAGCATCAGGGATGTTCCAGGCACTGTGCTAAGTGCTGCAAGAGATAGAGAGGGATGAACATCATCGGGGGCCTCCCGTTGCTCTCAGGAGAGTCTTTCCTCCTTCAAGGGCTGTGAAGGACCCACGTGATCTGGCCATTTAGACAGCAAGCCAGCCTCATCTTCCAAAACCTCCCCTGCTTGTTTGTCTGGATAATTCCCACCTGTCCTTCACTTCTCCACTTAGATGTTACTTCTTCCAGGAAGCCCTTCCTCCAGGAAGCCCTTCCTCCAGGAAGCCCTTCCTCCAGGAAGCCCTTCCTCCAGG